TACAGCAGGAGGAACAAGGCTGTTACTTCTTCTGGTCTTTCTCTGGAGCTTTGAGCTTCAGCATTTTGTGCAGAGCCGCATACATGTCCTTTATACAGAACAGGACGAGGGAATTGAACACTGTAAATGGGAAACAGAAAAAGGCTGTCAGTGAGCACATTAAACATATTCGTTCTGTAAGCGAATACTCTAAATAAGCCGGTTAGTTACCCGTGCTGTCTGAGATGGTATATCGACACAACTCCTCAGTGTCACCCTTCGTTGTAGCCACAGCAGCTTTGAAGGCTTGTGTGATGTCCCTAATCAAATTCGGTGTGGGCTCTTTCTGGAAACAAAAAACATAAAAAAAAGAGCCATGAATCAAACAAGCTCACAGATGAACAACATAACAGACTCTGATTTGAAGCAAAAAAAAAGAAAGAAAAAAAAAGTATATACACAACACACAATATCCTTCAAAAAGAAAAAAAGAAAAAAAAAGTCTATGCTCATCAAGGCTACATTTATTTGAACAAACACAGTAATATATTGTGAAATATTATTACAATTTAAAATAACTGTTTTCTATTTGAATATTTTTTTCAATTTAATGTATTCCTGTGATGCAAAGAGTCAGTAACACACTTATATTTTTGTGGAAACTGTAATACTGTTTTTTTTTCTATTCATCAAATAATCATAAATTTTCTTTATTTATTTGAAATAGAAATCTTTTGTAACATAAATGTCTTTTCTGTTTTAGGTAAATGTATTACATCTTTGCTGAATTAAAGGGCCCCTATTATGGATTTTTGGATTAATGACCTTTCATGTAGTGTGTAACATTGCTCTAAGTCAGTGGTTCTCAATCTTGGTCCTAGGGAGCCACTGCTCTGCACATTTTATATGTCTCCTTTATCTGACACACCCACTTCAGTTAATAAAGCTCTTTCCTAACGAGCTGATGATCTGAATCAGGTGTGTTAAATGAGGGAGACATACAAACTGTGCAGAGCAGTGGCTCCCTAGGACCAGGATTGAGAACCACTGCTCTAAGTGAATGAAAACATCTTGCAAAGTTTTAAATCTGAAAGTGCACCGTATATTAAAGTTATTGTCTTTCAAAAGTAAGAGTCGACTCTGAGTCAATTAAATGAATCGTTTTTCAAACGAGTCATAAGCCGTTTCGTTTTGACATCAAGACGAAACATTAGCATATTGCCCGCCCACTTATTGCGCACGCAGACACCAGGGAAAACTTGAACACTTCAGCTGATTCCTGTGGATACTGGACAGCATCATGTCGAGAAAAAGCAGTGCTCTATAATGTGAAGGTAAAGGCAGTTTTTTTTCCATTGCTCAAGGACGAGCATGTGAAGAATCAGTGGTTAAAATTCATCTTTACCATGATACCACAGCAGTATAATCCTAAACTTTTGCTGTGTTCCCTTTATTTTACTGACGACTGCTTCTCAAATCTCGGAGTTCAATGCAGGATTCACAATCCGCTTGCTCTTGAAAGATGGTGTTAAGTTTTATATTGTGTAGGTCTCCTGCTAACTGGTTAACTCACATTATTACTGTCTTACTGAAATACTTCTGCTGATCAGCTGTGGGCCACTATTACCTAAAACTGTGTCTATTAATGCAGATTGTCTGTCGTTCTCACTACTTTGAGGAAATATTTGTTTTACCAACGTTTATGTTACATCAGTCATTCCCTCTAGAGCTCGGCTAATGTACATTGCATACATGCACTGTTATTGATACAGTTTCCACGTATTCACAGCAATATATTAGAAAAATACTCGCTAAATAAATTAGTACAAGTAAAATAATCGGTTTGTTGATGGACATGCACTTGTCAATGCTGATGGTGAGGAATTACAGTTACAACATCTCATAATGTACCTCAAACCGAGTAGTGTATCACTGAGAAACGTCATGCTCGAGTCGTCCTTGCGATGGAGGTTCGGGTTGAATAACTATCTCTTCCAGTGTTTCATCATCGGACTCGCGCTCGCATTATATTGTCAAATCGACGTCATTGTTTGTTACTGTGTTTAGTTTACAGTGTAGGAAGCCTCAGGACACGCAGAGCTGACGTTGTTATGGCAATGGACGTTTTTGTTTTCGACACGTGCGCTGTACACTGTAGGCCAATCACAACAGACTGAGCTGTCTGGCCAATCAGAGCAGAGAAGCTCGCGGAAAGGAGGGATTTAGAGAGATTGATTCATTTGACGAGTCGTTTGAGAATCAATGAAAACGTGATGATGTGCAAATGTATATTATGAGGAAATTAAACCGTTTTTTTTACCTTTGACGCATGTAAACATGTTGTAGGAGACTCCACAACAACATTAGGAAACTTTAAAATAGCATAATAGGGGCACTTTATAAAACAACAACAACACTTTTGAATGGTAGTGATGGGGTCTCTGCTCTGCCCCAACTTTCATTTCACTGATTCACCAGAAATAACAATTGCTCTCCCTTGTGTGAGTTCCAAAATATACAACTAGCCATATCGATGGCTTTTTATGCAATTAAATTCAGGAACTCTCAGATGTCTCATTTGCTATAAACAAAAATATTTTCCATTTATCAACTTTGAGCATTGGAAAAAAAAAACAAGAAAACAAAAACCACACTGGTCATCCATTACAGTTGAGCCTCCTCTTTTGAAAATGAATGAGAGCTCTTACAGAATCATCTGACGCTCCTAAAAGAAAACATAGTGAATAAAGGATAAGATAAAAATGTTACCCTTAGTCCAGTTCTCCATTTCTCAATCATTGCTTCTGTGACTTTGGTAGATTCTTTAGAAGATTTTAATGGTTTCGCAACCTTTTTTTCCGATTCCTCCTCCACCTCATCATCATCATCATCCTAGTGTCACATAAAAATTGTGGAAAACACACACTTTATATATTAAAGAATATATATATATACACCCATACACACACAATTCACAGCAAATTGTGAAAAACTTTTAATTTATAAATTAAAAAGTAATTAATAATTTGTTGCATAAGAAGAACTAAATGGCTGACCTCCAGTTGAGAAGGGAGTTTGTGGTACATCCTTTCCTCTTCATCCTCCTCCTCATCCTCAAGACTATCAGAGTCATCAAAATTCAGGAGCTCCTGGTCATTTTGTTCTAAGTACTTATAGAATTCTGGGTCTTTGCTCTTGAGGGCTGATAGCTGGTCCTTGTGCTCAGATGCCTTGCCCTGCTTGTTCACAGACCTGTGGCATCATTGATCAGAGTTAGACCACTGAAACAGCATGTTATCTAACTAGGTACCTCCTGTTCTGACAATAGTGTATCCTCTGCAAACATTTCTAGCATGTAACAGAGAATGGAAATAAAAACCGAGACACTAGAATTATCACTAAAATGTGAAGGCCACACTTACGTCTTCTGAGGTGTATGTTTCTTCTTTTCTCCTTTCTGCTGTGTTGATTCCTCATCCTCACAATCATCTTCCTCATCAGAATCAAACCCAGATAACATGAACTCATCCACACTGAGATCCTCCAACTTCCTGCATAAATTTAGATGGAACATCACTAACGCATTCAGTAAGTTTTTGTTTGCAGTACGTTTAGCTAGTTGATAATATAAATACAATTTAATTTAAATTAAATTCGATTAAAATAAATTAAGTTAAATAAACTATGTTTTTTTACAGTAAAATAAAACATAATACATTTAATTCAATGAATTTATTCAAATAAATAAAATTTGAAAGCATAGTACTGTAGTGAGTAAAATGATGTAATTATGTGACATAATAGAAACTAAATATTTTCCAAATGATATTGTTATAATATTAATTTTTCAAAGTATTAATGTGGGGTTTTTAGATTGAAAACCCCTGCTCTACAACAAGACTGACATGTCCTGAGACTTAACTCTGGCTTTAATATTCCTCAAAAGAGCTGTTCATTTCTTAATGCGTAAAGCATTTTTATTTACAATGAAGTATGTTTAAACCTATGGTTTAAACTACGTTCCTACCTTCCTGAAAAGTGAAAACGTCAAAAAAGGTGAATAAAGTGCAGGAAGTTATCAGAAAGTTAGTATATTCTGAAGTTACAATGTATTTTTTTATTTGTAACAGTATTTTTCACAGTAATTGTTATGAAAAGGATTACATTTTTTTCAAAAGATTAACAATGTTCAACCAACTTTTTAGCAAGCACATGTAGCCTTAGTACACTAGAAAATGACGATTCCCTAACAAATTTTGTAGCTAATCATATATATGGATTTAAAAAAAAAAAATCAATTCAGAATTAACTATTGTATATTTAATGAGCACAATCATGTTCTCTCCATTATTGCTGAAGTACTGATAGACTGATGAGTTTTAGTACATCATCTGTGGCTAAAACTAGCTAGCTATCGTCAAATATCATCAGATAAGTGTCTTATGAAGTGAATTGAGCTCTGACAACACCATCTACAGTTTAATTGACTGTACTCGAACCAAAGCAAGAATATGCGATTATATATACGAGGTTAAATAGCTAAGAATAGGACATACCTCTTGTTTTTCCCTGCCATGCTGGATAAGAAACGTGCACAGGGACGCAAATACCCACAATGCACCGCTTTCAGGAGCTCAGCTGAGTTGATCTTTAGTTTAACGTTGCGTTAAATGCAAAACAAAAATGAAAACTCACAGTCTACATTTCTGCTTGCTTGTGTTTTTGGTAGTATTATTATAAACAGATTATTTAATCTGTCACCTCTACATAATTTGTGGGATTTATTTTTGCCCAAATGCAGAATGTTTCCAGACACGATTTTAACAGTAGCTTTTGTATTTATTTTTTTAAATACATAAAATAACCAAAAATCTGAAATCCACCGAGACATGTCTCCAACCACAGAGGCTGTTGGGCAAAGCACAATTGGACAAACCCCCATTTGGGACCGTGATTAAAACAAAGCACAGTCAAATTTGTGGTGGGCGTAACATGTTCAACACAGTATTATTTTTTTTGTAATGCAGATCAGAGCTGAGAGACAGACGTCTGTTTTGAAGCGACATGTGATGTAGCATGTCAACTCACCACGCTGACGCACGGCTAAATAAATCAACACATGCATCCAAATTAATAATAACACACGGACAAAACTGGAGAGAGCGCTACACAGAAAGAAACGAGTCTTGTCAATCAGACACAGACGACAGCAGGTGAGCTTAGATTCGATCTCATCCAGACAGAATTGCACCTCATCTGACAATGAAAGCAACATTTATTTACTTCTTACTTCATTTTAGCTTATACAAAAAAGACAGGATGTGCAAACGCATGCTCACCGTCCCAGAGCTGCAAGTGTTATGAAATAGCTTTATCGCATGATGTGCTCTTTGTTCAGACAGATATTTGTCAATTGATCCAGGTTAAAGTGTGTGCATTGAGCATTTCTTTGTATGTGATGCTGTCGTTTAAAGCGTTTGGAATATGGTATGAGGACTGAATGATGTTTTTCGTCTTTTAGCTGTCAGTGCTACTGCCTGCCTGTACTGTAAAATCCCATCTGAACAAAGGCAACATGAGATCAGCCACCAAGCGAATACTCTTAAATGAGGCAAAATATTATTCTGTTGTATGGTTTCATTTATTGTTATGGTATGTACATGGCCAGCAGAAAATTATTTCCCAAACACCTACAATGAGGTTTTCTTTTTCCAATTCTTGAACGAATTGTTCGTTTGAGTCGGATCTTTTCAATGAATCGATTTTCAATGAATGAATGATTTGAATCCTACTGTATCGTTTCACTGGGAATCCTCTCTTTCGGACATATTGGATAGATAATAACCGATGATTGAGCTGATAATAACATTAGAGATGGAAACACAGGGAACACGTGGGAACGTATTTACTTCATGACGTAAAATAATTGCTGTAATGTTTTGTAACGAACTGTTCGAAGGAACCGATTCGAAGGAATGAGTCGGACTTTCCATCACTAGCGAACTGATGTTAAGGAGGTGTAATTTGAGAATTGTGATGTAGTAGCTTTTAAACAGTGTAGATGGAGCGTTATCAAATTGCTCGACGATAACTTGTTGTTGATGTTGTTTGGATGTAAGCAGTTTCATCGGAGCCTCGATTAAGAACTAAACCAATTGTAAAGCAAACATCCGGCGCGACCTTAAAATGTGACGTCAGCGACCAGCACTCATGCGGCTTTCATTTACGTCAACAACACACAAGCTCCCAAACTGAGGCTTTATTCGTTTTTCATATGGACTGTGATGATGCTCAGCCGCTGCACTCTAGGATTCAATCAAAAATATTCTCCATAAAGCAGACAAGCGAAACAAAAGGAAAAGGCGTCATCCATCAGTTCAGGTAGTGCTGGTTATACTCAGTATTATTCTGCTGGATGACTTGAATGGATCAGAGGAGGAGGGGTGAGAGATGCTCTGTCTGGATGGGACACGGTGTGCTGAGTCAGATTAATGATACTGGGGATGTTTGTAGGGGTTGTCTTTAGCTGTAACTCTGAATCAGCCTGTCTAGTATGCAAGAGGAAAAATTATATTTTTATGCTGAATAATCCGGTCCTCACATTTCTGCTAAATATTACAGCTATTGCTACTAGTGTACAATCCTAAAAAAGAACAAAAAATTGTTTCCCAACACCGTAAGAAGCTTTCAGAAACTTTTTATCAGATTAATATATATTTTTTTATTATTAATTTTATGTGAGCAAGTTACTATAATATACTGTATAATAGGCACCATTCATGACACGCAAGGACACCTTACAAGCATCAAAAAGCACATATCAGCATAAAATATAAAAAATAAAGCCACTCAGTATGGCCTAAAAAACACAACATACAGTAAGATGGGTACATAAATATACAATCACATTAAAGCCTGTCTAAAACGAACCCATGGAAGTCATGCGGATATGAGATAGAACAAGAGTGAGTGCAGAAGAAGATCTAAGAGTACGAGTGTGTATGTGAGAAGAAACCGGACAAATATGAAGGGGTAAAATTATTGAGTGCCTTATGGGTAAGCAGCAAAACCTTAAAGGCAATACTGTATTTAACCAGATACAAGTACAAGGGAGATGTGTTCAGTTGAAGGAGTTCTGGAAATAATACACACAGCTGAGTTCAGCACTAATGAAGTTTGTGAAGAAGTCATTGCCTGAAAAAACATCATAATACAACTTTTATTAAGCAGTAATGCTTTCTCAATTTGTCTTGAGGGGCCACACAGAGGCAGGCATCTACAGAAACTCTATCCTGAGTGCCTACCATACTACAAATAACTAATCTATTCTGAATTTTTAAACAGTTAGTGACCTCAGGTTTCAGACCACATGGTTTGCTTTGTATAACTAAAGGATTTATACATCTGAAACCCCATAGCCATTTTGTGGGCAGCCACACCACTGCTGGCTGTAATACTGAGCCTATGACTCTTTTCATGCTCTTTCACCTGTCATCTGTTATTTGGAGTAACATGAGTAATGCTTTAGAGTTGGAGCTGTATTGTTAGGAAAACAACAAAACATCCCATTGCTTAAGGCTTTAGTTTATTTGATTTAAAACACTATACACCTCAACATCTAATAGAAGAGGTGCCGTCAACTGGATTGCTATTTATCATCCTCCTGCTCCATCCAATCTTCCCACTCAAAGTGAAGAGTATGACAGATACCAGCACATGTTACCGTGGGCACAGCACAGTGGTTTCTATAGTGATGCTTTTGGAGAATTGAATGTGTGCAGCTGGCTGGCCAACTCGTCACGACGTGTCGGTTCAACCGTTCCATATCATTCGTTCTTTCATCTGGAACACAGTTTCATTATTAAAATCAACCAGCCGGTTTATTTATGCAGCGAGTGTGAGTCTTTATGTGTGCGAGAGACTAAATTTAAATAGCTTTTGAGGCCTCAGGCCAGTGAGAAAAGGCCACTGAGTATTGAGGGGCAAACCATATGTAGCTATAAGCTATAAAATGAGCGGGAATTTGTAATGTGAAGTGATAATTTTCATGATATTTAAGGCTTGAGCGCTTCGGTCTGGCTCGCTTCTCCCATTATGATTCTGTACTCGTTGTTCAAAATGCCTTGAAGCAACCATTATGCTGTATGGAAACGAAATGTGAACCAAGAAGGCACAAATTAAAATGGATTTACAGTCTGGCAAATAACTCAAAGATTGTTAGAGGTAATGCACAGATGTTAAACATGACATTAATTATTAATTAGCATTAGCTTAAATGAGAGTTCTTAAAGAGCCTCATGAAATATTTTTTTATTTCTTGTCTTCACTTATTTCCTATTTAAATAGGAAATAAACTTCATCATAGCCTATGGTCTATTTAACACAATTGTTTTATATTTGTCGATTTATTTTTATTTTTATTTGATTACAGTTGTGGTCGGAATTATTGGCACCCCTGGTAAATATGATCAAAGATGGCTGTAGAAATAAATCTGCATTGTTTATCCTTTTGAGCTTTCATTAAAAAAATGTGCAAAAATCTAACCTTTCATTGAAGTAAACGAATTGATAGTGGCGGGAAAATCACATTATGAAATAAATGTTTTTCTCCAAAAGATGTTAGCCACAATTATTGGCACCCTTTTATTAAATTTTTTTGCAACCTCCTTTTGCCAAGATAACAGCTCTGAGTCTTCTCTTCGCTTTTCCACTGCTGCTGGTACGGCTTGGCACGGCACGGCTCGGTTCGCTTTAGCTCGGTTTGCTTTTCCACTGCGGTTAGTACTGCTTCAAAGTGGGTGGGATTATAGTCTGATTGTTATAGTTTATCCGCTCCTCGGCAACCAACGAGAGGAACGTCTGCACTTCGTCCACTGACCACATTCAGCCATTTCTTTTTTGGAAGTTTTCTTTCTTTCTTTTTTCTTCAAGCAAGTCAATCAAGTAGTTTGCTACAGTCTCGCAAATACAATGAAGCTGGTAGTGGCGATTCTGCAGTGTGTTCACGTCACATTTTAGTATCGGTACGGTACGCTTGGAACCTCAACAGAGGTGGTACCATTTAAAGCGAGCCGTGCCGTACCGTACCTTACCGTACCATGCAGTGGAAAAGCGCCACAAGTGAGCCGTACCGAGCCGAGCCGTACCGTACCGTACCATGCAGTGGAAAAGCGACAAAGCGTGCCGTACCGAACCGTGCCGACATACCATGCAGTGGAAAACAGGTTTGGAGAACACCTGACAAGAGATCAGCGATCATTCCTCCATACAGAATCTCTCCAGATCCTTCAGATTCACAGATCCATGTTGGTGCTTCTTGCACTCTCATCTTCTATAGGTCACACATTTTTGATGTTTTTGATGTTTGTTTTGGATCGTTGTCCTTATGGAAGATCCAAACACGGCTCATTATAAGATTTCTAGGAGAGGCCGTCAGCTTTTGATATGTTATCTGTTAGTATTTGCTAGAATCCATGATGCCATGTATCTGAACAAGATGTCCAGGACCTCCAGCAAACAAAATAGGCCCACAACATTAAAGATCCAGCGGTATATTTAACCTCGGGCATGGGGTACTTTTTTATCCCTGTTTGCACCAAACCCATCTTGTGGGTTTGCTGTCAAAAAGCTATTTTTTTATTTCATCTGATCTGACCATAGAAGCCGGTCCCTTTTGAAGTTCCAGTCGTGTCTGACAACTGAATACTCGTGTCTGAAAACTCGTCAATCTTCAAATTTTCATCTTCCTAAATTTCTCACTTGTAGAGGTCAATACTCAAAAAGTTTTAGGGGTATTAAATTATGGAATGGTTTATCCCATCTAGCAAGAAAATGTTCTTTAATATGTTATAAAAGATGTATAATAGATAATTGTATTGATGTCTTGTGACTGTTTTCTTTTTTAAAAAAAAGTATTTTATGTACCCTATAGGATTTGTTTTTAGTTGTATATTATTATTATGTTGTAATTAACTTAATTCAGTCATACATTTATATTTGTTATTGTAATTTAGCTCTTTCTTTAATTTCATAGTTTCTGTTTTTCTTTGTTGTTTAGGTGGAGGCTTTAAATAAGCCTGTTTGGATTTTCTGCCTCTCCCAGCACAGTATTTGGATTGTATTTTCTTGTTTTTATTGTAGGCCTATATCTTATATTTGTGCAAATAAACTAAACTAAAAACTAAAATATGCTGGAGTTTGTTTTTGGATGAGCGAGGAGGACTTTTCTTGGAACCCTCCCAAACAACGTGTGGTGATGTAGGTGCTGTTTGATGTTTTTATTTTTATTATTTAGGATTTCTGATCCTAATACTCAACGAATCTCTGCAATTCTCCATATGGGATCCTTGGATTGTCTTTGGCCACTCAAACTTTCCTCCTTGCCTTGCATTAAAGCAATGTAGAGACACGTCCTCTTCCAGGCAGATTCGTAACATCTTTAGTTGATTGAAACTTCTTCATCTTTGCCCTGATGGTGGAAATGGGAATTTTTTTAATGCTTTAGCTATTTTCTTACAGCCACTTTCTATTTTGTGAAGCTCAACAATCTTTTGCTGCACATCAGAACTATATTCTTTGGTTTTTACTCATTGTGATGGATGATTAAGGGAATTTAGCCTTTGTGTTTCCTCATATTTATACTCCTGTGAAACAAAAGTCATTGCTAGACAATTGCATGTTCCTAGCTAAAAATTTAAATATTAATGGGAATATACTTCAGAGATATTTTACTCAAAAAAGGGGTACCAATAATTGTTGCCAATGTGTTTCGAAGGAAAAACATTCATTTCATAATGTGATTTACCTCCTACTTTCAATTCTTTTACTTCAATGAAAGGTTAGATTTTTGCAAATTTTCTGAATGAAAGATCAAAGGGATAAACAATGCAGATTTATTTTTACAGCCATCTTTGATCATATTTACCAGGGGTGCCAATAATTCTGACCACAATTGTATATCATTCACAATCCTTCGTGAGATTGTAGTTCATTGAAGGTCATTCTTGTACCTTTGTCAGATTTTTAAATACTTTTATCTTCAAATTAAATGTTTGTTGGTTGGTTTGGTTCATGGCTCATAACTCTTTTAACAAAATTCTTATGGGAAAAATTATTGGAAAAAATACTTCCAGAACCAAGACCATTGAAAAAGTGGGTCGGCACTGTTGCATCTATTAGGGGGAGGGACATTCTCGTTTTAGACAGCATTTGATTGTAACAAAAATCTGTAGTGTAGGATGAGTCATCTATACTTTTGGACTTTTTTCTGAAGAGGAAGAGTGTAGATTTGAAGAGTATATATCTGTTAAATGGTATTTTGACATGAACTAAAAGCCACAAAACCCAATTTTTGACTTCATATGGTGTTTCTCTCTCTTCCTGTAGTGTCCTAGAGTGAGGCCCAGGCTCCAGCAGGCCTTGGAGAGCACCGGCATGATGGAGGGGGGTATGCAGCTGCTGAACCGGGATGGCCACAGCATCTCACACAACTCCAAACGCCACTACCACGACTCCTTCGTGTCCATGAACCGCATGCGGCAGCGCGGCCTGCTCTGCGACATTGTGCTTCATGTGGCCAACAAGGAGATCAAGGCACACAAGGTGGTGCTGGCCTCCTGCAGTCCATACTTCCACGCCATGTTTACAAGTAGGTCTTATTCTACATTGCTATTTTAGAAATGAAAATGGTTCTGGCCCATATGTCTTAAATAGGGCTGTCATGGTATCAGAAGTTTTTTTTTTTTTTAGCACTCCATAATATAAAAAACACTGCTCTCTAAAGATATTTGAAGTAAACATACGATAATTCATACGTTTTTATAAGTTTTGGCAACCAGGTGCAATACCGCCACCTACTGTACTTTGAAATGTCAACCAGATACTGGCGCTGGATTATATACGTGCCATATTATTATACGTGTCCTATTCATTTGAAATAATATACCGGTATATTCCGACACCCCTTATTAACAAGATAACAATATTACATTTTTTAAATATCACGGTTATCGTCAATACCAGTATATCGCGACACCTCTAGTCTTAAAGAGAACTTTTTTTTGCCTAGTAATGTTAGGGATGGGCATTTTTGTCAATTTTTCGAGTACTGATAGGTCTCATAAATGAGTAATCAAGTATTCGGGGGTTGGGCTTGTCCATCATGGTGATAATGACATTTTTTGAATTAAAAGACTGTTACAAAAATAAATGTTGACAAATAAAAATATCACATGAAAATATTTCTATAAAAATATAAAAATAACACTGCTAGATTATCAATAATGCACCAATGTTTTCGAAAAAAAAAGAAACATCTAAAAGGAATAGCTGCATGGAGTGAAGCTGAAGAGTGAAGGAGCACCAGTAAACTGAAGCCCGTTTTAAATAACACATCCTACATGAGATTAATCAGAAATCCTAGATACACAACATAGCTGTAACATTACAACTTGTATCTGCACAAAAAGACGCAAATGCAAGTGAACTTGAACTAAGTTATGTGCTAGGCAGAAAGTGTTACTCCCGTTGTGGATACACTCTTCCTCGTAACAGTGTGCTGAAACATGGGCTACTAAAGCACAAAGAGTTCACAACATTCTATAGTGTTCTCATTATAATGTTATGGCTCTGCACAGCTTCCTCCTAACTGTATTTTCACCTTCTGTCAAGTAATTCCAGACATCCCTGCATGTTTTCGAAGCTATGTCGAGAAACTATTTTAATTAGAACATATGCCTACTGTTGAAAAAAATATGACTAGAAAAAATAACACTGCTGGATTATTCCAATTATTATCCAAGAGGAATATGACTGTCTCAAATAACCCAATCATACACAATAATGTTGGGCATTGCCGTTTGAACTGATGCCTCCACCAACTCAACCAAACACATCCTATATGAGATTAATCAGATATATAGGCTACTAATAAAATTAATATTACGACTTACACCTGCACGTGAACTTGACCGTGCTTGTCTGATGACTGTGTAACTCCTGTTGTGGATGCGCTCTTCCTGTACCAACAAGACTGAAACACGGACAACTAGTAGTATAATAGTTCAAATTATAATATTATGTATATTCGTAGATTGGTGCTGCACTTCTTGCGCCTAACTGTATTTTCATGATACAAAGTGATTCAGGCATCACTGCGCACTTTAAAATCCATAGTTTTACTTTATTTTTCCGGTCTGGACAGCATGCTGTCCTAACGCTAACCAATCAGACCTCAGGTACTGCCCAAAATGCCACAATAACCAATCAGGAAAAAAAGAAATATCTTTTTTAAAGTCGTTTTCATGATCGAGTACTCAAGTACTTGTGCACACTTGCACATCCCTAGGTAATGCTTTTTTTTTTTTACAAGTTTAATATCCGTTTTTTTGTGAAATCAGGAGTACGCTATCATATAGATAGTTCCATAGCTAACATATGAACTAAAAGGTGAAAAAACAATTTTGACTTCACACATGGTCTTTAAGGTGAACGTGTATTGTGTATTGTGTAGTGTTTATTTCCTATGTACATTACCTCAGCTTCTGTTTCAAGCCTTTCCTTCCTTCCTTCCTTCCTGCCTTTTGTCATCTCCTAATGTTTTTCCATGCTTTATTCTCTTCCCTGTCTTGGTCTCAGATCAGCAGGTGCCTGGTTTTTCCTATTGCTCAACAGTCCCGCTGCACCTCAGACTAGAGTGTGATGGTATGAGTCAGGACAATGTGGGCTCTTCAGAGCCATGACTATTCTGAACTTACCATACACTAGATCTACTAACAATGCACTGATTTAAACTCCATTATACATATCAAAACTTGCTTAACTTACAACAAATAATCTTCTTGAGTCTGGACTAATTTGTACTAACACTGAGTGTGCTGCATTTCTCTTATAGGTAATTCAAATTTCTAACAAAATTATTTTTCATATTTAAGGCTTAAGCTAGTCCCAGACTAAAATGCATGTTTGAGCTGTTTTAACTAAAAGCAACTTGCACTGAGATATCTTAAAATATGTCAGTGCCATTGTTTTGTCTCAAGATGTTTTTTCTAAGGCACTTTTATAAAAGCTACTTAAAGGTACAATATGTAAGAATTTTGTAATAAAATATCCAAAAATCACTTGCACAGTGTGATATATTTCCTGCAGTTGTGTACTTCCAAGATCCCAAAAGTCTCCAAAGATTTTTTTATTTCAGAGAAATTCCAATTTTAAATAAGTGGCCGTCCCGGAAAAAAATGTCGCCTGTCAATGACGCAATATCCTCGCTATCCTTGGTTTCCGTTCATACTGCCATAGCCATGACGTAACCATGGCGACATACGTGGACAACTGCGTAGTGCGTAACGTTTAGCGGCACGCAGTTCTTGTTTCTTTCAAACATAGACCATGGCAAGCAGACTTTGGGACAAACAAGGAGAACTAAAATGAGGATCAATATCAGCGTGGCGTTTTTGAGATGCCGAGAGCTCCACGTCCGTGAGTAACTTGGACTTGACAGAGCTTCAGTCACGACTTGACAGCTTTATTAGACAGGTGAGCAAATGTACATAAAACAAATCAATGTTATGTAACGTTAGCTCAACATGATGAAATGTTAGAATATGGTCAGTATGTTATTCTAATGTTGATCTAGCTTACTGCTAGTTTCGTATAGCAAACAAACTAACACGTAGTATAACATTATAACTTTCAACACACATTTAAATGCCGTTTAGTGTGATAGTGTAACGTTAGACCAAGTGAAGCAGCGCTGCGTTACCTCACAAGTTTAATTTGTCTAATAAACTGACCTGTGTGAGTAATCCAGCACTTGCGGGTAGTTCGGTAGAATTAAATGTCCTTATTCTTTTATATCCGCGGGACTCGCGTGTGATATCTGTCTCTTTAGCAATCGCGACCTGCTTCATACCACTGTAATGTTAAAAAACATGAATGTTTGCACTCATCCATAAACATTATTAGATCCATCAGCTTGACAGCAAGTCCCATCATTCAGCTCATCGCTGCGTCATAAACCTACGCCTTTGTTATTGTTGGAAACTGCGCCCTCTTGTGGTGAAAAAAACCTACATATTGTGCCTTTAAATGTCCTAATTGAATGAAGGCCTAATCTGTGAAACCAGGCCTATATATCTGCTAACAGTATGATGACAAATAATATCAGAATAGAAATAAGTGGTTACGATTATATAGATGTAAAAACACAAAAGAAGATATTCTCTTTCCTTTCATAAAATGACAGACATTATGCAAAAAGTGTCAAATTTGTCTACAAAGTTAGAAAAATTTATTTAAATGATCCAGCAGTTCATTTTTGTGTGGAATGTTAATTTAACTGTTCAGTGTTGTCATACGTCTCAAGCAGTATTATTATTATTATTTTAATGTTTTTATTATTATATTTAGTATAAATACTATTATAGTATTTATTATTATTTTGAGTTTGCTTTTATTTTTTATATTTTTAGTTTTAGTTTTGGTAATTTTCTTGGTTTTACAATATTATATTATATTATATTATATTTCTTTAGTTTATTTTTTATTTCAGTTTTAGTACTTCAACTTCAACTTGTTTTATTTTAATTAGTTGCCAAGGCAGCATTTTTAATATTTTTAGTTGAGAATAACAACACTAGTCTCAAGGGTCGTTCATTCATAAAGTGATTTCCGGTTTCATGAATGTCACTGAACGTTGACAATGCAACAAAATCAAACAGAGTTTGCAAATTTTGCAGATTTCATGCAAATATAGTACACTGTCTGATATAGTTAAATATAGCAGTCAAGTAGGAAATTCTGCTAGCATCCAACAGCACAGATACTCTGTGAACTCAGAGCAGATGATCATCCCATTTCTGATCAGATTTTCAAAAGCTATTGCCAGGGGAGCAGCACCAATAACGTTCTAATGGGAACATCCACTTCGCCAAACAGTACAACCACCAGAGCTCGCTGTATGTGTGAACGGGACATCAGCATCGTCAAACCCCTGGGAAACTGCCTAAATCTACCAGTGTTCTTCAAAAGCCTCTATTGCACAGCTGTGTGTGTTGTGACTGTGCAGATGAGATGTCAGAGAGCCGTCAGACCCACGTGACCCTGCATGACATTGACCCTCAGGCTCTGGAGCAGCTGGTGCAGTACGCCTACACTGCAGAAATCGTAGTAGGAGAAGGAAATGTGCAGGTACGTCGACTTTAGTGTCTTTTGAAGAGCATACTGTATTTTCATGCTCACAATCACCAGGATGTAATCTAGTTTGGTCTGTGAGGTGCTTAACAAGGTGGTGTGGTCAGATGGTTTGTGCAAACTTACAATTTGCATCTTTGCAAATGCAGGCCTTCTATTTGTGCTGTTTCAAAAGAACAAATGCATATGTGGCAGCTAATTTACAAGAATTTGTCTCATGATTAGACTAAAGGTGCAATCACATCAGTGAAACTTCAGTGCATTTCCAGCTAAATTTTGCATGCACAAAAGGTCCATTGTCTATTGCCAATAGTGTAGGCTCACACAGAAGTCACTTTCAAACCAAGCAGCTTTCTCTTGGTTATTGTTACAAACTTAAACATGAGTGAGATCTGCTTGGGGGACTTTTTTGGCCTCATGCGAAACTTGTTATTGTTCGGCAAAAAAAAATGTTAGAGCAAAATCCAGTAAATGTGACCGCACCTTAAGATGATGTTAAAGATTAATTTCTGAAAATGACTACTTCTTAATTCTTACTTCTACTGCTTTACTCGAGCAGACCTTGTTGCCAGCAGCTAGTCTCCTGCAGCTCAACGGAGTGAGAGATGCCTGCTGTAAATTCCTCCTCAGCCAGCTGGACCCCTCAAACTGCCTGGGCATCCGTGGCTTTGCAGACACTCACTCCTGCAGCGACCTTCTCAAGTCAGCCCATAAGTACGTCCTGCAGCACTTCGTAGAGGTCTCGAAGACTGAGGAGTTTATGCTGCTACCTCTCAAACAGGTGAGTGATCTGTTTTGTAGTTAATGTAGTAGAATACTAGTTAGGTAGTTAAAGGATATAGGTCACCCAAATATTCTTCATAATTTTCCGCATTATTTTAGTATTTTGTCATTAATAATAATTTATTTTATTTGTAGTAGCTTTAGTACTTAAACTTATTTATTTCAGTTAGTTGCCACAGCAACATTTCTCTCTACTTTCTTCTGTGAAACCTAAATTAATTTTTTTAGGTAAAACATAAATGTGAATGAGGACTGGGGTTGTTAAGCACCAAAACGACACCATAAAAGTACATATGATAGCTTTGTGTGAGGAACAGATTGAATCGCCCAGGGTCATAACAAATTCAAACTGTAAGAAACTCTGATGCAAGAGGGGTTTTAAGAATAGATTTATTCAGGATGTAAAAAGAAGCGTGTAAAGTGTACCCGTTAAATGATGCATGGGGAGTGCTGGGGAGTTGAGCCATAACAATCCTTGAGGGAAAAATGGTTTTGGCCACGGATGTCTAATTATATATATTTGTCACTGACACCACTTCCTGTCACCTTCGCCTTGAGCTTTTTAAAAACACAATCCCTTCACTTGATCCGGCCTCTCCTCCTCTCTGTCGTCTGGGAAGTCTTGATTCTTCTGACTTAGTCTGAGAATAAAAAAAACCTGCTCTATTTCGACCTTCGCTGCAGGAATTCTGGTTCCATCCTGGCTTTTAATACGCCCCCTCATACTACTCAAAGAAAAACTCTCCCAAGGTCTGGAGATAGCTGTCCATTAGCATTCCCATTAATCTCAATGGCAGTTTTTCAGCTGACGCTGAAGTTTCTCAGAAGTGAGTGGTTAAAATTCTGACATCTTTGCTCATGGGCATTATGGGAACTGAAGTTTTGAATCACCAGAGCTGTAAAAGCCATGCGACTAGCGACTATCTTAAACTGTCTCAAAGGAAGCAAGCAGGGAGACATATGTCAATTTATGTTTTTAAAATCCCTCTAAAAATATATATTTTTAACATATATATATATATATATATATATGTAAGCAATAAGGTACGAGAGGCTGTGCTGTATCGTGAATAAGTAACGGCTGGAGGGCGTTGTTAGGCACGACGCGAAGCGGAGTGCCTGCAACCCCTTCAGCCGTTACTTATTCACGATACAGCACTTGCCTCGAGTACCTTATTGCTTTTATAAAACGGTTGCCACACAATAAAAATATTAAAGCCGAAAAATATGTATCTATGCAACTTTCATGAAGTAAAATCACTAAAAGCCTGCCTTCCGCTGGAAAAAATAGTCCCGGAACGTGAACAGCAACAGAAGTTACATATATTATTTCGCCAATAGATGGCGGCAAAGACTGTCTTTATGAGTGAGTGAGTGAGTGAGTCTGTAGAGAAGGCTTTTGAAAGGACTCGAACTTGTGATCACGGAGAAGACAGACGCAACTGACAGATGACTAACGTTATGCACGGAAAACCCCATGACTGTTAAAAGGACAAAATATGCAGCGGACATTCAAACGCATTTTTTTATTATGAATATAGGACTGACCTGAAGGAAAATGCTACGTCTACTGTAAATGCAGGTACACTCGCTTACTCGATCTCTCACAATGCTCTGCTCTAGCTTTAAATGAACAATATCAATGAGATGAAACATCTGTTTAAGTTGCTAAGAGTGGTTGCTAGGGGTGTTGTGTAGTGATACATAGAACCGTTGGGTGAAGCGGTCATAGCCGTGTTTTATCGTGAATAAAGCACAGCTATTGACCAATCAGAATCAAGGATTGGAACTAACCGTTTTATAAATACATATATATACTTTATATATAACAAATATACTAATAAAGTGCCCCTATTATGCTCATTTAAAGGTTTCTATTTTTTTGTTTTGAAGGTCTCCTACAATAGGTTTGAATCCAATATCAAAAAACATTTTCTCATAATATACATTGCCCATAACCTCATTTCTCAAAGAGTCTGAAAACGTTTTGTTTGAAGACTCAGTCTCTCTAAACCCCTCTTTTCCGAAAGCCTACTCTGCACTGATTGGTCAGATGGCCCAGTCTTGTGATTGGTCTACTGCTTACAGTGCGTGTCGGAAACAAAACACCCATAACCATATCTGAATTTCGGCTCTGGAGGCTTCCTCAGCACCTCATACACAGTGATACGATCAGGAACGATGGAGTCGGTTTTTCCATATAAATGCCAGCGTGAGTTCTCATCCTTTTGACAACACGAACCAAACTCTTCCAGGCTTGGGTCAAAGTAGACATTATTTGCGGGCAAGAAGAGAGACTGGAATTGCTGACGACTTGTTTCGGCAGTTTTGAATCGATTCTTTATTTTAGGAGACAATAAATTTATTTGTCTTGCACTTTGATCTTCAAAACTTTGCAGACCTTTTACATTAACAAACAGCTATATTACACACTTGCATGAAAGGTTTCGAAAAAGACACCTTAAAGAAATGAAATTTATTTTATTCAGCAAAGATGCATTAAATTGATCAAAAGTGACTAAAAGGGTATTTATAACGTTAGAAAATATTTCTGTTTCAAATAAATGCTGATCTTTTGAACGTTCCATTCATCAAAGAATGAAAAAAACGTATTTACTAAGCAGCACAGCCGTTATGAAACATTAATAATAAGAAGAAAATTGTCTTGCATCAATCAGCATATTAAATGATTTCGGTTGAAACATGTGACACAGAAGACAGGAGTAATGGCTGCTGAAAATTCTACTTTGCCATCACAGGAATGCATAACATTATAAAATATACTAAAATAGAAAACTTGTTTTAAATTGTAATAATATTTCGTAATATTACTGTTTGTACTGTATTTTGTCAAATAAAATTCATTTGCAAGCATACAAGACTTCTTTCAAAATAAATAAAAAATCCTACCATCCCGAAGCGTTTGAATGGTAGTGTAGTGTACGTAAAATATATTTTATACATGATTATATATCCCCAAAAGTATAATTGCAATTTTTGCATTTTATATATTGCTTGGGAAAATGTATTCAGTCAGAATACACAGGAACGTTTGAATGGCTGTGAATTGAGATTGCTGTTTTTTTTTGGCCCCAGATGATATAGTTACAGCTAACTGGACCATGCCAATCAGCCAAACTTTGAACTCTTCTTCGACTCACCAAAGCGAAAATGTCAGCATGCATTACACCGCAGTGACACTGATATAAGTGCTCTCTGCATCAGCACTTCAATACACTGTCAATCATCCTGCTCGAATATGTGGTGACAACTGCACGTCAATGAGAAGCTGAGACTGCTAATCAGCAGAAAGCAGCCCCTGCTCTCATACAACACTAATTTCATCAGCTCTAATCCGCTCTCTTCGTAGAAGAGCATTCTTTTGAATAATCGGAGTGCTGCTTGTATTAGTGTCCCTGTGTTTTGAAAAGTTACATGATTCCATGAAATCCCCCTGCTGTTCAGACACTGATTACAGAGGACCATTAGGGCTTGCTGATGACATAGACTGCTGTTCCTTCTCTGTCTGTGATTCTCTCTCTCTCTCTTAACAGCTGTTGCAGGCTAGAGGCTTCCACTGGCCCCATATTTAACCCACAAGACCTAGGAAATGCTTGTAGTCATGTTAACTGTGCCCTTTGCCCCAAATGAACAAACAATCTGTGACAGGAATTCTGCAAAGGCTGTTGTAGTGCTTCTGAGTGTGTAGATTAGATGATGGTGATGGTATTACATTTGTCCCGAGCAGCTGTGATGCTGGTCATTTGGGTTGTAATCCTTAAAACCTCTGTCCATGTCCATGAGCTGGTCTCGGGCATTGGCTGAAGTCTCTTAAATTCATATTGCAAAAATAATAATAATTATAAAGTAATTTTTGCAATTTCTTCATCACTAACAGCAGAAAATGAAATTGCAAAATAATGGTATGGTTTCCCAAACACTTATCACTTCTTCCACCCCTACCTCCCCTTCTGCCATTGTTCAATCTGAAACTCACTCAGCACTATTGGTTGACCCAGAAGTTGACATGTTAACATGAAGTTGGCTAACAAAGCAATGTTTTGAAAGTAAGTCAATTATAACTATGGTTTTTAATTTTTTTTAATGCCGATTTGAAAAAAACAACAACTGCAGAATGGATTTAAGGTAAGATGTGTTAACTGGATTGGTATACTATTTTGGGTCACCAAAAAATTTGCCAAAACACAACTAGTAATGTGAAGAACTTTGGAACATAATTGGAATGTATATTATTATCAAGTAAAATTCAATTACATTATTAAATCAAAATTTTATTTTCATATTACCATTCAAAATTTTGGGGTCAGTAAGATTTCTTTTAAAGAAAATAAAACTTTTATTCAGCAAGGATTCATCAAAGAATATATTTTTTTTAAATGCCTTGGTTTCCACAAAAAATATTAAATGTCACAATTGTTTTCAACATTAATAATTTAGGAAATGTTAATGTTGAGCTCCAAATCAGCATATTAGAATAATTTTTGAAAGATCATGTAACACTGAAAACGGAAGTAATATATAACATAATAATATTTCATTTCACAATATTACTGTTTTGACTGTAATTTTTTATCAAATAAATGCAGCTTTGGTGAGCATTAGAGACTTATTTTAAAATCAAGTGCATTTAAATGCGCTTCATTCACACTAAAACACAAATTTGTCTTTCAAAATGTTAATTAAAGACTTTAGTCTGACTGATAAAAAAAAAAAAAAAACTGCACTAAAATTAAACTGAGAGGGGTTATAGCACTTACGCATTGTTGTCCTACTGTTAGTTTAACTGCTTCTATTGTTCTCATTTGTAAGTCGCTTTGGATAAAAGCGTCTGCTAAATGAATAAATGTAAATGATTGATTGATTGATTTTATTTGACCACTTAAATATAAAAATATGAAACAGTATGAAACTGTGTCATACATAAAAAAAAAAAAAAAAATACACAAGTAGTCAGGGATAACAAAATAAAGCCCGAAGACTTATTTCCATTGTGGTCCCTTACTCTGGAACCATAATCTTTAGTTTTCAGATCAGTTATGAACCCTTTCTTGTGATTTCTGCAGGTGCTGGATCTGATCTCCAGTGATAACCTGAATGTCCCATCAGAGGAGGAGGTGTACAGGGCTGTGCTGAGCTGGGTCAAGCATGACATTGATGGGCGGAGGCAACATGTGCCCCGGGTGGGTGTGATTCCTCCTGTCAAACTGCGCTTTTAGCAATATCACAGTAAATCACAGAATTAGTGCTTAATAAAGGATTATGTCTCTGCAACTCGATACTTGTTTCTCTATTCCCTTCCTTTGTATTCTCTGATCCTTTTTACACACGCACACGTCTTACCTCTCACTCTCCGTCCATTTCTCTGTTCAGCTGATGAAGTGTGTACGTCTGCCCCTGCTGACACGAGACTTCCTGATGAGTAATGTGGATACAGAGCTGCTGGTGCGTCACCACTCCGAGTGCAAAGACCTGCTGATCGAGGCACTGAAGTACCACCTGATGCCCGAGCAGAGGGGCGTGCTCAGTAACAGCCGCACCCGACCGCGTCGATGCGAGGGAGCCAGTCCGGTCCTCTTCGCCGTAGGTCTGTAAACGAGACTGTAAAAACACACATGCACAAATGTCTGTATGTTGTTGGATTGCTTTAAATGCGTGTCTTTCAGGTGGGGGCAGTCTTTTTGCTATTCATGGAGACTGTGAGGCCTATGACACCAGGACCGACCGCTGGCACATGGTTGCGTCTATGTCAACACGGCGGGCACGAGTCGGAGTGGCTGCTATCGGAAACAAGCTCTATGCTGTGGGCGGGTACGCAGATCCTAAAGCCTCATCTTTTTCAGAGAATCAACTGCTTTTTCCATTAATAACACCAATCTTAACTGACAGGGCCCCTTGTGTTTTGTGCACCTTTTGAAAATTCAGAGTTATGTGGCATCAGTGTGAGTGCTTTAGAATAAACATTTTATAATTTTAAACCCCTGGAATAATTGGAAATCTAGGGAAGCCCATTGACATTTTATCTAAATTTTGAATTTTATGTCAGAATTTTTATGTTATATAATTATATCTTAATATCTTGTAATTTTGACTTTTCATAACTACTTTTTATCTTTGTCATAACTGACATTTTGTCAGAATTTTCAACGTTTATCTCATATAACGTTCTATGAAAAAAATGTATTTTGTCATAAGGATGATTTACCAAAGCACATTTCTTTCTTATGTGGAGAAAATGGCTTTCCATAGAAACTATTTTTTTTTAACTAGCCAATAAACTCAAAAACATCCTGACAGGATTGAAAGTTGAACAGTCTTAAACTCGATGCAGCATATTAAAAATACGGCGCCCATGATGCGAGATGCTGAAAAAAACAGCAAGTGTGACTACAACCAAAGACGCATATAAATGTACATACATAAATCAAATCTGTGCTATTTTTCATTATTTTCATATTACATTACAAAGGGAACAGAATGTGCAGAAAGCTATGTTATTTCCTTCAGATTTCCCTGCTGAGGCAATCAAGAAGTTACTTCAGGTTAGTTAGGAAATGTGTCAGGTGTTGACTAATGTAATTCTATGAATGATGACGGTCTTGTCTTTACTTGCATGATAAAGATGCAATTTATTCAAAGACGCATGAAAGATCTATTGTTCCTCTCTGTCTTTTCCCAAAACAGGTATGATGGCACCTCTGATTTGGCTACTGTAGAGTCGTATGACCCAGTAACAAATGTGTGGCAACCTGAAGTGTCCATGGGAACAAGGAGGAGCTGTTTAGGTGTGGCGGTCCTGCATGGGTTGTTGTATGCAGCTGGAGGATATGATGGTGCTTCCTGTCTCAACAGGTATGCTATTCAGTCAAATAAATGTGACATTTTTTCTTAAATATAACTGTATTAATAATATTTTGATTGGAAATAAGATGACGATATGCAAGGAAAATGTCTCTTTTTTTATTACGTAATTGTCAAATAATATGTAATAATATTTCTCTCTCTCTCTCTCTCTCTCTTTGATTTTGTCTTTAGTGCGGAGAGGTATGACCCTCTGACCAGTACCTGGACCTCCATTGCTGCCATGAGCACCAGAAGGAGATATGTTAGAGTGGCCACATTAGGTAAAAAATATATAATGCTCAGGGCTTGACATTAACTTTTTTGCTCACCAGCCACTGTGGCCAGTGGTTTTCCACAGTTACTAGCCAATCAGCATTTTCATTGGCCACAATTTTGACTTCAATACCATGGGGAAAAACTGCCATATAGATATTTTTAATATTATCTCATAATTTGCCAGCAGGTATATTAGGCTGCTGTCACTTTAAAGGGTTAGTTCACCCAAAAATGAAAATTCTGTCAGTAATTACTCACCCTCATGTTGTTCCAACCCCGTAAGACTTTCATTCATCTTCGGAACACAAATTAATATATTTTTTATTAAATCTGAGAGCTGGATCACTCCTCCATAGGCTTCTTAAGGGATCGAAACTGGCCGGCCGAAAAGTTATGCAAGACATCGTTAAAATAGTCCAAGTGACTACAGTGGCTAAATCTTAAGTTTATCAAGCAACAAGAATACTTTTTGTGCGCAAAAAACAAACAAAAACAACGACTTTATTCAACTACTCATTTCCTTCTGTGTGGGCCTTGAGATTTCACGTAGTGGAACTGTGCAAAGCTTCTAGGTTGTACGTCACACGCATCACACACATGACCAGCGTCGGCCAATAGTGAGCCTACGTGTGACGTGCAACCTAGAAGCTTTGCGCAATATCACTACGTGAAATCTCAAGGCCCACAGGGAAGGAAATGAGTAGTTGAATAAAGTCGTTATTTTTGTTTGTTTTTTGCGCACAAAAAGTATTCTTGTTGCTTGATAAACTTAAGATTGAGCCACTGTAGTCACTTGGACTATTTTAACGATGTCTTGCATAACTTTTCGGCCGGCCAGTTTCGATCCCTTAAAAAGCCTATAAAGGAGTGATCCAGCTCTCAGATTTAATCAAAAATACCTTAATTTGTGTTCCGAAGATGAATGAAAGTCTTATGGGGTTGGAACAACATGAGGGTAAGTAATTACTGACAGAATTTTCATTTTTGGGTGAACTAACCCTTTAAGACCTGACGCACGGATCCATTATACTGTTACACTTACATTTTCTTTCTCAACTGTTTACGTTCATAACTGACTGTGTTTACGAGAATACTTGTCAAGATCTGCATTTTGACATTATTTTATGTGTATTTGACTGTTTAAGCGCAGTAAGCAGCGAAAACAAACTCAATTTAATACTGAGAGGTGGTTTTATGTGCGCACTTTGGGAATGAGTAAAATGATGCGCAATCCCACACCGAAATTCAAGCTCTGTAACACCAACAATATTTATCTGAAGCAAATGAAACGAGTGAGTGAGGGGAGGCGGGTTTGTGTGTCAACTCGCTGTCAGAGAGATGAGAGCGTGAGAAAGCGCAGCTGTTACAGTGTATTCTGCGGAAAATGAGCATTTGAAGTGTTTCAGATATTTCAGTATCGATGTGTATCGAAAAATCTATATTTTTGATAACACTACATCGCACCTAGTTTATTATTTCAGATGCCTTTATTAAAAGACTACAATTGAAAAATGTATATATTTTATATAAAATTCAACCTGCCAAAGTGGCTAGTAGGAGTGACTATATATTTTATATATATTTGCCTCTTGAAATGGTTAATGTCGTCTGTGTTTGCTCTAAATTGCTCTACATTCTTCTGTTAGATGGCAGTTTGTACGCTGTCGGTGGGTACGACAGTTCCTCACACTTAGCCACAGTTGAAAAATACGACCCTCAGGTATGTGACACATTTCTCTATGATATGTTGAAAATGTCTCCAGGGTGGGTGTGTTTTATGTTTTCTCTCCATGGATAAATAAATGACTAAAAAGACGGTATTATATTTTTCAGAGTAATCTCTGGACTGCCATTGCCAACATGCTGAGCAGGAGGAGCAGTGCAGGGGTGGCTGTACTGGAGGGCATGCTTTATGTTGCAGGGGGCAATGACGGTACCAGCTGCCTAAATTCAGTGGAACGGTACAATCCAAAAACCAACACCTGGGAGGGAGTGGCCCCCATGAACATCCGCAGGTTCGAAAGTGGCATTCGAGCATTCGACTGCCATCATTTACTCACCGTCATGTTATCCCAAGCCTATATGCATCTCTCTCCTTTAAAAATTATGTTGGAAAGTGTTTTTTTGTTTTTTTTTGCAATGAAAGTCATTGGGGTCCATTGGGCTTTTTTTGGACCCCATTGACTTTCATTAGCTATGTTTACATCCAAAATTGTGAATTTAACATGCGCAAAATGGGAATAAAACATTGCATAAAACATTTGTAAATAAAGCACCGTTTCCATCCCATCCCAAATCATAAATGCCTGGTGTTTGGGAACACAATCATGTGAGATGCTTCTGGGAGGGAATTAAACCAAACCAATCTGATGACAGACTTTGGCTCAGGCATTTCAGATGATCAATCCAACATTTGAGATGCTGTGCAATGAAATAGGTCTGCTGGTTAGTCCAGTTGTCCAATCACATCCACAGGCAAAGTCACGTGAGGTTTTTGTTGTGCATCGAGGGATTTATTCGGTAAATGTGTTTCCATCGCAGTTTATGCGCATGTCTTCTTATCGGATAAAACAATTATCCGCCTCAATTGAGCGCATGAGTATTTTTAGAATTCATGCGCATCTTTGCTTTTCCATCCAGTGTTTTCCCAATATGCGCATGCAAATAAGTGGATGGAAACATAGCTATTGTATTAACAAAACAGCTAAAACATTATTCAAAATACTTTCTTTTGTGTTTTATTCTTTATTCTTTATTTCAAGGATAGCCCCTTGAGATGTACCATCTCATTTTCGAGGGGGTCCTTACAATAATGACAAACAAAACAAGATGATAGAGTAAATATTAGAGATAATTCCAAACACATAAGTACAAAGACACACACACACACACTCACACACCCACGCACACTCCAACAATGCTCCCTGAAACTAGCCCCCCACCCCCTCACCAGCCAATAATGCACAGATTATGCACAGACAAGATAAGAAAAAAAAAATATATATATATAAAAAATATAGAATATAAAAAATAATAACAATATTTTTCTTATTTTTTAAATAATAGATAAATAAATAAATCCCTCTACAAAAAATAGAGATAGACATTTGTACACATAAGCATACTATACACCCCCTTATAAATACATCTGCTTGCATGCACGAGTAAAGTATACAATCCATATTTGTAAACAAATACACACATATATACAGTACACTGGACAGTGAGTAGTATGAGACCTAAAACAGTTCAGAAACACGAGCAAAGTGTTTGAAATTGAGTAATTAAATATGATTTAAAGATATAAAGAGAAGTGATCGACCTTAGTGAGGAAGGAAGGTTATTCCAATCAGATGGACCTTTGAATTTGAATGCACGACGACCAATTTCTTTACTGATTCTAGGTGTTACTAGAAACAGTTGGTCCATGTGCCTTAAGTTGTATTGAGAGCTGAAAGGAATTAAAAGGTCTTTCAGATATGACGGGAAATTAAAATGAATACATTTAAAAATAAGTGTTAACCAGTGGAGTTGTCTTCTGGTCTTCGGCGTAGGCCAGTTCAATGACTCATACATTAGACAGTGATGGGTTCTGTAAGGACACCTGAGCACAAATCTACAAAGACTATTATATAAAACATTAAGAGGACGGAGATTTGTTCCAGAGGTGTTACCATAGACCACATCAGCATAGTCCAGTATCGGGAATATTAATTGGGTTATAATTCTCTTACGTACTTCTAGTGAGAAGCAGTCAGCAGAACGATAAAGTGATTTCAGACAACCAAATATTTTCTTAGTAATCAAATTAATATGAGATTTAAAGGATAGCTGAGAATCAAGCCAGAGGCCTAGATATTTGAGTTCTTCAATTTTTTCTATTGTTGTTCCATCAAAAAAGCTAATAGACCAGTTACTTAACATCGAAGGATCAGATCGAGTGCAAAACAACATGCTATATGATTTTCTCTTATTCAAAAGAAGCTTGTTCGAGGAAAGCCATCCTTGAACCAAATTGAAATCAGATTGGAGAGAGGACTGAATTTGAGAAATATCAGAGCTAGAAAAGTATAATACAGTATCATCTGCATATAAATGAAATTGACAGTCAGAACAGATTTGAGATAGATCATTAATAAAGATTGAGAACAAAAGAGGACCTAAGGATGATCCTTGTGGAACACCTTTATCACTTATCTTAAAGTCTGATTGACTTCCCAGAAAGGAGACACATTGACTTGTGTCTCACTTGTGACAGAAGAGAGTCATACAACTTATTTGTCAATCCAAACCTGTAAGTTCCTAATGGACATTTTCTTCTCTTGTTCTTCAGGAGCACCCATGACCTGGTCGCCATGGATGGCTGGTTATACGCGGTTGGAGGCAATGATGGCAGCTCTAGTCTCAATTCCATAGAAAAATACAACCCTCGTAGCAACAAGTGGGTGGCGGCGTCATGCATGTTCACGCGCCGTAGCAGCGTCGGAGTCGCTGTCCTGGAGCTCCTCAACTTTCCTCCTCCGTCCTCTCCCACTCTTTCCGTCTCCTCCACAAGTCTTTGACAAAGGGTAAAAACCCGGCTTAGCTCCAGCGGCCTGCCCTGCGTGGCAAAGAGGCGCAACTGCTCGGTTTGAGCACCGGGCGAGGAGTGTTTCGTGGGCAACAGCGGCCTCCCTCTGCCTGGAGGAATACTGCAGCATTCCAACAGATCACAAGGTTAAAAAAGGATGAAAAGAAAAATCCCACACTCTCACAACTCTCACCCTATAAACCCCAGTGCTTGAAAGTGCAAAATAATGTTGCTCTGCCATTTTTCGGTCACTTTGTGTATGATGTATATCTAAATGTATATTTAATTTATGTTTACGATTCTTTTTTGAAATATTAAGAAATAATATATTAAACAGAAAAAAAAGTATGAACAACTTTAGGAATGTAGCTCTTGACAGGTTCTGCCACGCATGTTTACAGAAATTTCGTCTTGGCAGAACACAATAATGTAGTGCTGCTGTGCCACACTAGGTGGTAGTAATGTGCAATGCTGCCCTGTCTCACCACAGATGCGCATGGACATTTACAAGCAGAAAATTCTCACAAAGCGGGGGCTGGACTCTACACTACATACAGCTGAGTCTGCTCAGTTATGTAGTTGATAACATAATATATGTTTTATGTATTTTCCCATTTATTTATCAAATGTAATATAAACATATGACACTATTTCAGAGATGTTTGAAGGACCACCTCTGACTTAGGAGGGGAGATATAGTTTTATCGTACTTATTGCATATCAGAGAAGCACTGGTGTTTGGTATGAAATGTGAGTGTTATGGAGAACAGTTATTTCGTGTTTTATCCAGCGGACATGTTCGGTTTGGTTTCTACAGTCATGCATTACAAGCTTTTGAGAGTTTGAGCTCTACATGAGTACAAACTCTTCTAATATGACACGTCTATATCACAAACCAGGAGAAATGTCTTTCTAATAAAGACTATAGCCATACCTAAAAACTAGCTGTGACATTAAAGCTGCACTTTCTCGTGTTTTTCGAATGGGTGATCGGTGCTCAGAACTAATTCTGATTAACTAACGGGTAATCGGTAATACTGACACTTCAATATCAAGCCCTTCAATGTGAGTAACTCGGCTATTGTAAGCTCCTATATGTTGTATGTCACATTTCTTAATATTTTTGTCAAAAGTCTTTAGTTGATAACATTGAACCATGTCATTGTATACTGCATTTTCTAAATTTTGCTTAGGGTTGTCGGCTTCGGCAGCTCGATTGGATCTAGACAGTATGTATGTGTTGTGCTGTGATGTCATTGGTAACAGCCACTACCAATGCATCTTACCTCAGATTGGCAGATGAGTGAACAGTGGGTTTTGTGATTAGTTTAACTGATGAGAGCACAGATCACCCCAAAACAAGAGATAGTTTCCCCAAAATTGAAAATGTTGTTCCAAACCTGTATGACGTTCTATGCTACGTATAACACAAAAACAGGAGATATTTAGTAGAACGTCTAAGCTGTTTTTTGTTTTGTTTTATCTGTACAATGAAAGTAAATGTGAACAAGGGACAGTGAAAAAGAGCAGTTTGGACAAAATGGAAAAAAGCAGCTCGGACATTCTGCTGAATATTTTCTTTTATGTTCCACAGAAGAAAGAAATGCATACGGTTTGGAACGACATATGGGTGAGTAAATGATTAACATTTTTGTGTGAACTATCCTTTAAGTAAATTCTGCTCTCTGCCATTTTATGTAGGTTTTAAAATGTAGCGTAGTATTATATGATTTCAAAACTTCTGAGAAGTTAGGATTTTATTTCCTTTTTTAAGGACTTTAATTCTGAGAAACATGTTTAAGGTCAGTATATATTTGTGTCCAGGGAGATTAGAGTGTGTGTAGAAGTTCTGTAGAGGTGAAGCATCCTGCACTTTGACAATACATAACACCACAGGACCACGAGCCCACAGAAAGGAATTACAGTATGTATATAACCAAATATCCTGAAACTTTGTGCAATGTCAACGTAACTGGCTGTCTTTTCTTTTGTCTTTTTGTTTTTTTATTGTAATGTTGTTGAATGTGTTATATTGTGCCGGTTATGTTTTGCTATATTTAAGAACAAACATGAATTTTTTGCACTAATGTAAAATGGAGCAATATACTGCTGTATAAAATTAAAAAAACACTACTGTAAATGATATAAAGCTGTTTTCAGGTGGAACGAGAGTTTAATCTCATTTGACCAAATAGATTTACACTTTAAAGGGATGTTCAATCTGATGTAAAATCTGTCTTTTACTCACAACCTGTTTCAAACCTGTATGACTTGCTTTCTTCTCCGGAACACAAAAGATATTTGAAGAATGTTGGTAACCTTGTGCCCATTGACTTCCACTGTATGGACAATAAAATAAAGAAACTCTCAAAAACCATTTTTCATGTTCCACAGATGAAAAAAGTCATACAGTTTGGAACGACATGAGAGTGAGTTAATGATGACAGTCTTCATTTTTAGGGGTAACTTATCCTTTTAATATGACGACAAAACTGTTACTGGGTTTATAATTTGTTAAAATACTTCAAGTAATGGCACAAAAGAGTCTTTCTTCAGAAGAACACAGACGGATACATAGCAGAATGTCCAAGCCGCTGTACAATGAAAGTGAATGGTGACCAAAGCTGTCAAGCGAGATTTGTTCTGAAACCTCAGTTTGTTCTCACAAATGGCTTCAGAAAACAGTGCATTTCAGTTGTATGGACTAGTTTAATTATGCTTTATGTTGCTTATTGCCTTGACTGCCTCTGGTCATCATCCACTTACACATAGAAAAAAGCAGATTGGACACTTCACTAATTTTATCTTCTTTTGAGCTTCAACATCATACATGTTTAGAACGATGTGTGGGTGAGTAAATAAAGACAGAATAGAATTTTTAGTCGATCTGTCCCTTAAATAAACCAAATGATTTTTCGGATTAAAGGAGCGACCTTCAAAGCTCAGCCCATTAGAGGATCATTAGATGTGTTGCTCTCTGACTGATGTAAGCAGACAGCTGAGCACTCTCGCTTTAACCACCATGACCTCAGCTTCACGACACGAACACCTGTGCTGTGTGCTTACGCACACGTATACAGACACATTTGGGCAGTACATCTGATACGAGCAGGATGTACGTTAGCGTTTGCTTTAAGGAGAAGGTTCATTTCGGCACTATGCAGTATTGTCCTGTGTTATTTTAGCATCGGTGTGTTTGCGTAATATCCCTTGTAGCCATCTGTTGTTAGGCAGCTCTTTTAATGAGGGTAGGGGGCTGGGGGCTGGGGGCTGGGGGCTGGGGGGGGGGGGGGGGGGGGGGGGGGGCTCTGTCACATTCCACTGCGCATGTCTCCAGCCCTGTGGCGTACTGATATGAGGGCCTATGATGAGTTTACGGTCTGGAAAGGCAGCTGCAGGCATAGCTGTACAGCAGAGAGGAGACACTAACACCCGGCCCGTCTCTGTCCAGTGTATACCCAGTCACCATAAACAAACCTCAGCTTTATTCACCTTAGCTGTCTACATAAATCCAAGCTCATAAATATGCATTTGCAGTTTTGTATTGTATTAGATAGCTAGATAGAAAGACTGTTTACTTAGTTTGGGGTCAGTTAGAATTTTTTTTTTTTTTTTTAAAGAAATTAATACTGTTATTTAGCATGGATGCGTTACATTGGTCAAAAGTAACAGTACAGACATTTATGATGTTACAAAGGATTTCTATTTTAAATAAATGCTTCTTTTTTTAAAAATGGTATAGGCTACTCAAAAGAATCCTAAAAAATCAGTTGTGCTGCTTAATGGAATGCTTTTGTGGAAACTGATTTTTTTAAATCTTTTGATGAATATAAAGTTTAAAAGAACAGAAATCTTTTGTAAAAAATGTCAAATGTTTTTACTATCACTTTTGAACAATTTAATACAGAAAAGTGTTAAAAAACTTACTAACACCAAACTTTTGAATGGTAGTGTCCTAAATTGTCTTCTCTAGAATTCTAATATATTGAATAACAAAGAAATCGGATGTTCGCACAGTCCTTTAGAAGTGGATTATTCAGCGTCTGCTTGTGTTCCTGGGAACAAGGAATGATTTGGTTTCTTGCCGTTCTACTTTCTCCATCACCGAATACATCATTTGACATTTACAACATCCTTATCTTCATCTCTGTCAGCCATTTCTGTTAAACGAGTTAAAAAAAAAAATCCACAAAGGCATTCTACAAAAAAAAAGTCACCTGTTTGATGTATCCCTTCAAAGCCGGGTTTATTCCACCTCTTACACCATGTTTTTTTTGTTCTGTGAGAGCTCTGACACCCATGGTTCTCTCTTGCACACGTGGTCCATTGAAAACATCCAGAGGTGTGAAGTTAGCACCCCTAACGCACCCGGCGAGTCTGAAAAAACATTGCAGAGAGACTTCCCAGACAGGGCCGTGCCGATAGCCTTGCTCAATCCACAGCTCTGATACGTGTGTGTGAAATTCTGAGTGAAGTATTCGTGACTCTGAAAGAACATTGGGAACTCAAATCTGATTTGTCTTATAATGCTTGGGATCTTTTTAACTTTCCCTGTACACTTCTTTTACATCTTTATTTCAAATAGCGGTCTACTTGAATTTATGTAATAGATACTGTCATAGTAGATTAGGTGTCTAAGGCACAGGTCAAAGTATGGTCAAAATGACTATTAGGGATATGAATCATAAGTGAATGGTGACTGAGAATTACATATTTTTCCTCCATTTGTTTATAGGAATAGTCCATTCACAGGTTAAGCATTTAGCCCCATCGGATCCAAACAAAAAGATCTCTTTCACATGAGGAAGCCAGTCATTGTTTTGAGTAAGAAGAGCTGCTCACATAAAATGGTGTGGGCAGTCAGATACACTCTTGTGTTTGGCTTGATTTTCCACTTCCTTCCGTATCCTTTCCTTCTCCTTTGTGACAACTTAAAACCATTTTCTATGGCCTAATATAAACATTCTATTACAACAGAATACGGTTGTTGTTACTAGACAATAATTATTCTACAACAATAATGAATTTCTTCATAGTATACAAGGCATATTTAGTATGCCTTAAATTTTTAAGTACAATCAACTTGGATGTTTGTCATTTCAACTTAAATTACATTAAACTTACTTTAAAAAAATGAGTTGAATCTTGTATAACTTATCATTTCTTTTTGAAAATTGCTTAACTTATTTTGAAGAGTTAAAGCAATGTAAAAACATATGTTGTCATAACTTAGTGATAGTATAATTTTTTAACAGTATATGTAGCACAATCCTTCAGAAATCATTCTAATAATGATGATTTGGTGTTCAAGAAACTTTTTTCTTGAAATATTTCAAGAAAAATATTTTTGTGGAAACTGGTAACAATGTAAAACCTATTAAAGGGGTTTATTTTGTCAAACGTTTGGGGTCAGAAAGACAATTGTCTGACACTGACAATATTTTAAAACATGTTAAAACTAATTTTAAAACAAAACGTGCTTATCTTACCGCTTACTTCAAATCCTATCCTTCAAATACACTCACCAGGACTGCATTTATTTGATCCAAAATGCTGTAAAAACATTATATATTATAAATGACATTATATACAGGTCCTTCTCAAAAAATTAGCATATTGTGATAAAGTTCATTATTTTCCATAATGTAATGATAAAAATTAAACTTTCATATATTTTAGATTCATTGTACACCAACTGAAATATTTCAGGTCTTTTATTGTTTTAATACTGATGATTTTGGCATACAGCTCATGAAAACCCAAAATTCCTGTCTCAAAAAATTAGCATATTTCATCCGACCAATAAAAGAAGTGTTTTTAATACAAAAAAAAAAGTCAACC